AACTAAATGGAGAGAAACTTAAAGCAATCAGACTGAAATAAGGGACAAGACAAGGCTGCCCACTCTCTCCATATCTCTTTAACATAGTGCTGAAGTCCTTGCTAGAGCAATAAGACAGTTGAAAGACATTAAGGGGATACAGATTGGACAAAAAGAAGTCAAATTATCACTATTTGCAGATGATATGATAGCATACGTGAGCGACCCCAAAAACTCTACCAGGGAACTCCTACAGCTGATAAATACTTTCAGCAAAGTGGCCGGATACAAACTTAACTCAAAAAATTCAGTGGCACTCCTGTATACAAAAGACAAAAGGGCTGAGAAAGAAATTAGGGAAACAACACCCTTCACAATAGCCACAAATGACATAAAGTACCTTGGTGTAACCCTAACCAAGCAAGTCAAAGACTTGTATGAAAAAAATTTCAAGTCTCTGAAGAAAGAATTAGAAGAAGATATGAGAAGATGGAAAGATCTCCCATGTTCATGGCTTGGCAGGATTAACAGAGTAAAAATGGCCATCTTACCAAAAGCAATCTACAGATTTAATGCAATTCCCATCAAATTGCTAACACAATTCTTTACAGACCTGGAAAGAAAAATTCTCAACTTCGTATGGAATAACAAGAAACCGAGAATTGCTAAAACAATCCTCTACAATAAAAGATCTTCTGGAGGTATCTCCATCCCTGATCTCAAGCTGTACTACAGAGCAACAGTTATAAAACCTGCATGGTACTGGCAAAGAAACAGAATGGTGAATCAATGGAATCGAACAGAAGACCCAGAAATAAACCCACACACTTATAGACACCTGATTTTTGACAAAGATGCCAAAACCATACAGTGGAAAAAAGATAGCTTCTTCAACAAATGGTGCTGGTCCAACTGGATATCTACATGTGGAAAAATGAAAACAGATCCATAATTATCACCCTGCACAAAACTGAAGTCCAAGTGGATCAAAGACCTCAACATAAAACCAGACACATTAAATCGGCTAGAAAAAAAAAAAAGCACTGGGGAATACCCTAGAACTCATTGGCACAAGGGACAACTTCCTGAACAGAACACCAACAGCACAGGCTCTAAGATCAACAATCAATAAATGGGACCTCCTGAAACAGAAAATCTTCTGTAAATCTAAGGATACCGTCATCAAAACAAAATGACTGCCTACAGATTGGGAAAGAATCTTCCCTAACCCTTTATCTGACAGAGGGCTAATATCCAGCATATATAAAGAACTAAAGAAGCTGAAAAACAGCAAACCAGGTATTCCAATTAAAAAATGGGGAAAAGAGCTAAACAGAGAATTCTCTGTAGAGGAATATCAAATGGCAGAGAAGCACTTAAAAAAATGCTCAATCTCATTAGCCATTAGGGAAATGCAAATCAAAACAACCCTGAGATTTCACCTTACACCCATCAGAATGGCCAAGATGAAAAACTCAAGTGACAACACATGCTGGAGAGGTTGTGGAGAAAGGGGAACCCTTCTCCACTGCTGGTGGGAATGTAAACTGGTACAACCACTCTGGAAATCAATCTGGCGCTTTCTCAGACAACTAGGAATAGCGCTTCCTCAAGATCCAGCCATACCACTCCTAGGCATATATCCAAAAGAGGCTCAAGTACACCATAAGGACATCATGAAATCTGCAGGTAAATGGTGGGAACTGGAAAGGATCATGCTGAGTGAGCTGTCCCAGAAGCAGAAAGACACACACGGTACATACTCATATAGACATATAATATAGGATAAACCTACTAAAATCTGTTCATCTAAAGAAACTAATCAAGAGGGAGGACCCTGACTAAAATGCCCAATCCCCATCCTGAAAGGCAAAGAGGATGGGCATCACAATAAGAAGAAAACAGGAAACAATTTAGGAACCTCCCAAAGAGGGCCTCTGAAAGGCTCTGCCCTACAGACTATCAAAGCAGATGCTGAGACTTAGTGCCAACTGTTGGGCAGATTGCATGGAATCTTATGAAAGTAGTGGGAAATAGTAAGATCTGGAGAGGCCAGGAACTCCACAAGGAGAGCTACAGAACCAGAAAATTTGAACACAGTGGTCTTTCCAGAGACTCATACTCCAACCAAGTACCATGCATGGAGATAACCTAGAACCCCTGCACAAATGTGGCCCATGGCAGTTCAGTGTCCAAGTGGGTTACATAGTAATGGGAAGAGGGACTGCCTCTGAAATAAACTGATTGGCCTGCTCTTTGATCATATCCCCCTGAGGGGGGAGCAGCCTTACCAGGCCACAGAAGATGACAATACAGCCAGTCCTGATGAGAACTGATAGACTAAGATCAGAAGGAAGGAGAGGGGCCTTCCCCTATCAGTGGACTTAGGGAGAGGCATATGTGAAGAAGGGGGAGGGAAGGTAGGTTTAGGAGGGGAGGAGGGAAGTGTGTCTGGAGGGGATACAAAGTGAATAAAGTGTAATTAATAACAAGGAAAAAAAGTGGTAGTGACTGAACTTTGGCCTTTGCAGTTGCTGGGCAAGCACTAAATGTCCAACCTCAAAATAGTTTGAGAATATTTTCATATCTCAGGAAATCAAAAAACTATACTCTTCTAGCTATCATTGCTCTCTGTTCCCATCTACTCTGCACACAGTAATTAGCCAGAGGCAATCACTAATCCACTTTTGGTCTCTGTTGAGTTCCCTGTTCTGAACTTAGAGATGAGCAGAATTCAAAGATTTGTCTAGGCAGGCTTTGCTTCAGGGGCTTCAGGTTATAAGGCTTGGTATCTAACACATTACTTTAGGAAATCCATACTCCCTTTTTCTCTCAATTTAAACTATTTAAAGCCTGAAAACTTTTTCTCAACCCTATGTCTATGCTGAAGAATTCTGTTACTTTTTATCCATCTGTGCCCTTTTTCTTAAAGGTGGTAAGTACCCTGGCACTCCTGGGTCTCCTATTTACTTCAGACATTAATCCACCTTTTACCTTAAATTGACTTGTCTTAGCAGAACTGGATTAAAGGGAAAACTTAGGCTTCTCTTGAAAGCTTAAGGCAACTTTTTGCCACCAAATTTTCTTGCAGGCTCTGCACAGTGACCCATGCCTTTAATCCAAGTGTTTGGGGACAGAGGCAGAAGGATCTCTGTGAGTTTGAAGTTAGACTGGTCTACATAGTGAATTCCAGGACAGCCAGAAGTACACAGAGTTTCTCTCTCCCCTTTCCTTTCTGTCTCCCTCTCCCTCTTCCACCCCACCTCTCTCTTGAATATGCATTACATTTTCAAGAAAACAGAACCCAATTTCTGCTCTTAACACAGTAATGACATTCACAGAATGAATTCTAGCTAACAACAGAATAATAACTAGAAGTAGCCATTCAAATGCTTGTTTTGTTAAATCACTGGGTACTGTTTATTTTCATACTCTATTAATTTTACCTTTTAATATATTACCTATTTTCTACTTTTTTATCTACTTCATGAATTAAGTTTAATTTTCAAATGGTACAAAGGAAACACAGATTTCTTACATAATGAGATAGACCAAGAACAATTTCTTTTTAATAAAGAAAATGGTTTCAGAAGGCTTACTCAGGTTATATATGCTCATGGTAAGGTTTTGTCAAATATTTCATATTTTATTTGCTATCTCAGTGTCTCTACTTGTTAAGATACGGTTGACATATCCCAAGTTGGCCTCAAACTAGCTATGTCACAGAGGATAACTCTGAATTACTGATTCTCCTTCCTCCAGATCTCAAATGTTACTATGTCTGCTTTCAATATTACTATTTTTTAAAAAAATATGTATTTATTTATTCAGTCTCTCTGTGTGTATGTTTGTGCCTTTGTGTCCATTAACATGTATCACTTGTGTGGAGGACAGAGGAAAACATTCTGAAATCACGCCTCTCTTTCTTCTATGTGGGTTCCAAGAATTGGGCTCATAACCTCAGATATATATTGTATGCTTTTTGTCATTTTTTTTTCTAGAATCATTATAGAATAAATGTAAAAAAAAATAATGCAACAGACACCAGTTACATGATTCCTTACATATACAAAAATATACAAATCTGGAAGCTGGTAGGGGTGTATGCAAACACACACAGTAAGAATGAAAGGAAGGAAGGGAGGGAGGGAGGGAAGGAAGGAGGGAGGGAGGGAGGGAAGGAAATAAAGAAATAAAAGGGAAGGAAGGAAGGAAGGAAGGAAGGAAGGAAGGAAGGAAGGAAGGAAGGAA